CAACTATGAGTCTATCTCAAAACCTGCCCTTACTCAGTGGAAATCAACTCACCTAAGACAGCACCAAACTCTTATGGAAAATTCTATATGCAAGATGAAGGCAACCTTGATTCTTGTCTCACATGAATGGTGTTTTTTAATGCCGACAATTTCAGTGAGTAAGATGAATTTTATTTTTAAGATGGAAATCTCATGTTACAGCATCAGAAGAAGGGCTTCACAAGAAGAAAGAACTGAGAAAATAGTGGAAATTGTGTCTGAGCATCATGTTGAGAGAAAAAAATGGATCAATTAGAGGGTAGCGCTCAAAAAAGAAAAAAACAAACAAGCCAATAGATAAAACTCAAAGACATGGGGTTGACATTTTGTTCTGCACAAACATACTTTTTTGGGGAGGTTATTTTTTGCATTCCTTCTGAGAGTCCTGGCAACTGGAATTCACATTCTGATAAGGGCTTCACCTAGCTGCCCAGATGCTATTTTTATGAGGAAAAACAGATATCAGGAGGAACTTATCTTTCCAAAGAACAAAAGGGGGGAAAGGGAAGAAGCAGGAGAAGCAAGATGTCATATTTTCAAAGTAAAATTCATGAGAGCCTACGACCCTAACTATTATTAGCCCAAATGATTCCTTACACTGTCATTAGACTAATCCATATATAATAGCCAGTTTACATAAAGAGTGCCCCTTAATCCAAATTGGTTAAACTGGATTACTTTGCTAGCCCATGTGCATCCCATAGGATTAACTGAGGACTCTGGGGCAAATTTCTGAGGTCAGCTTCTGCTTCAATCCTGTTCTGAGTCTTTCATGTACTTAAAAGCAGATTCCTTTGGGGAGCCCCCTCCCTGACATGGTGGTGATTCACATGCTAATCCTCTGTGCTGTGATGCAGGCATGTGATGTGGGCACTGACGAGGTGTCCTGGCAGCTCCAGCTTGGGCCAGCTCTTTGTCCATGGCCTGGGCAGGCAGAAGAGGACAGCTCCAGTCCTTGGGATTCTGTAGGTACATGGTAGACCTATAAGAAGCTTATGGCTCTCAGGTTGGCATCAGCTCAGCTCTGGCAACTGTGGCCATTTAGGGAATGCATAAGCAGGATGGAAGACCTTCTCTCTATCTCTCCTTCTCTTCTTATAAAATCTGCTTTTCAGTTAAGTACAAATAATATTTAAAATAATAATAATAATATTAATAATACTAACAAATGTCTTGGAAGTTGTCATTTAGCCTCCTGGTCAAGATTCTCATATGCCAGTTTAGGGGGCATGTATTAAATTCCAACTTTGCTTCCAGGCTATAGGAGTGAAGTGGAAACTCACTCTGTTTATCTCAATGTGTCTCTCTGCTTCTAAAATAAATTCAAAAAACAGATGGAGTTTTTGAAAGCACTATTGATGTTATTCTGGATGATGTCTCCATATCAGGATCAATTTCTTAGCAATTTCACCAAAAACATGTAAAGATTATCTCAGCATGGACCTCATTGATGTCACCTTGGTTAGAGGTTGGTATCACTGTCTAAAACATTATGTTCAAGAAACTTCTCCACTTACAAATCAGAAAATCACACTACTTATGGTTAAATAACATGCCACCTATATTCTCACATGCTAATCTGCCACTGAACATCTCAACTGACGTTTTAGACTTCGTGGAATCTATCTACATGAGTAGGCACTGATTGCAACCTTGTTTCAGGACTTCACAATACCTTTTAATATATTTCATTAGTAGAATATTCACCCAAGCATAATTATCTTCCCATGTATTAGCAAGGAAATGATTTTTCCAAAATTATCTTGCTAAGAAAGTCTGAAATATATGGTTTATGCAGCACCAGATGCATATACACACAATACTTTCCTGTTACAGAAAAAAAATCAAGTATAAATATTAAAGTATAAATATTTAGATTCAAATTTGAAAAAAAAGATGACATTAAGATACACAGTTTACATCTTCTCATATTAGCAATCTGATCATTATTTGTCTGAATTCCCATATGCAAGGAAATTCTAGATACAAGAAATCCTACCTGTGTTTTATTTGGGATTATTCTTTGGTGGGATATTGCAGACATTTATACTGCATCTGGTATTTGTTGTTTCAGAACTCCTTTTGTTTTTGTTAGATGATAAAAAAAAACTTAAAAATTCTTTAAAGTATTAAAGCAAAATACAATTTTCTCTATTCTGTCAAGTTCACAAGATGCTTTATTTTTTGCTTATTTTCCAAATAAAATAATGTATGAATTCATTTGTATTTCCTCATAGGTTCTGGAATTCTTCTTAGGTAACAGTACTAATTATGTAATGGAATAACTTTTTTTAGGATTTATTTATTTTTACTGCAAAGTCAGATATACAGAGAAGAAGAGAGACACAGAGGAAGACCTTCTGCTCACTGATTCACTCCCCATGATGCCTCAATGGCTGGAGATGAGCCGATCCAAAGCCAGGAGCCTGGAGCCTCTTCCAGGTTTTCCATGTGGGTGCTAGGTCCCAAAGTTTGGGGTATTCTCAACTGCTTTCGCAGGCCACAAGCAGGGGGCCATCTGGGAAGCAGAGTTGTGAACCGGCTCCCATATGTGATCCAAATGTGTGCAAGGCAAGGACTTTAGCCACTAGGCTACCATGCAAGAACATTTTAAAAGGTCATAATTGAGTAAAAAAAAAAAAAAAGAAAAGAAAAAGAAAAAAACAACAACAACAAAAAACCCTCCTACATTTAATTTAAAAAAAAAAACCTAAAAGCAAATAAGAAACAGAGTTTATAGCAGCGTATTCATGGTATAATGTGCATCTGTTGTTACATAATGTCTTTGGGTCTCTGTTTTAAATATCCCACCATTCTGATCCCAGATAATGCTGTTAAGATTAATGATAATATACTTGTTTTCAGTTTGGCAGCACACAGAGAATGCAATTACATTAAAATGTAAGGAGAAAAAATCATTTACACAACAAAGGTTATCAAACTTGGTAAGAAACAAGAGTGGCTGGAGGCAGAGGTGGCAGATTTGCAACAACTGTTTGTGGTGTGATTCCAATTTGAGTTTTCTTTTGTCAGCTCAAGCCATCTTGGTGAACAAAATACTTCCAGCTCCAGACTTAATCACGTTAAACGATTCGGAGCATAGTCTGTGGGAAATCATCATTGCATCCAAGAAAGTGCTTTGGGATTTGGTGCCATACCCAAATATCCAGACTCAGTATTTGTGTTTTCCTATGAATTGCTAGGGTTCAATATGCTTCCTTTATTGTCATAAGCCAAGAAGCAATGACCAAATCCTAATTTCAGTTCTATAACATTAGCAGTTATCTAATTTCTCTAAACTATGTTTGTTCTCCCTCATTTCCCTTACCATTGCTTTTTCCTAACACGGAACAGCTCTCAATTACTTAGTCCTAATTCAACATTCACAGTATTTTGAGAATAATTCCAACACAGCTTCCATTATTGTAGTCATTTTTATACACATTAAACATTAAAACTCTACTGTGACATATGCATTTTGCTCTCATTGGAAAGATAAGAGATATATTAAGAGAACAACTGATTAGAAAATCTAAGACAATGTTGATAAATGCTGTGCTCTATCCCTTCCTTCTTACTCCCTCATAATACTTTTTCTTACGTCATTTTCTTCCTCCTTTTCTCCCTCCTTATTGTACCTGCTCTCTCTCTCTTTCCCTCTCCTCCTCTCTTTTCAGGTATTCATTTTGTTGGAAATATGATTTAACAGACCGCAGTCTGTTTTCCAAGGGGCTTGTTGTTAATTGGTTTTTCATTATTTCCAAGTTTTTTTAGCCAATGCGACTAGAAATAACTAAACATAAAAATGTGTGTGTGTGTGTGTGTGTGTGTGTGTGTGTGAGAGAGAGAGAGATGAAGAGAATATTTTCAATTGTCAAAGTTAAGTTAAAAATATTATTTCCACTATACATTGTATACATATTGAAGCAGTGATGTTTATTAAATAGTATAATGCAGTTTTTAACTAAGTATTCAATAACAAGTGAATCATCATTTGTTATATATATATATATATGTATATACATATGCATTTTTTAAATTTTATGATACAGTTCCATTACAATGGGATTTCTCTTCCTCCATTCCCAAACCTTCACCCCCCCCCCCCGATTTCCCCTATATAATTACAATAGTATAGCCCTTCATAATCAATCTTAAATCCATCATTCTGCTATTTAAGCGTACCCTGATATTGTACGTATGGGCAATGGTAGAGATTCCAGCATCCTACTGTCAAGATATATTTAACAGGTTCATTGGCAGGTATCCATCTTTGATTTGAAAATAGAGATGCATTACAGCATTGTGTCTTCACATCTAATTGTGACAGTCTCTATTACACAGTTATTGTATATCCCCTTAGTGAAAAACCATAAAACAAAATCAACAGCAGGAAGAAAAAAAAAACAGAAAATTAACAACATGAAGTTAAATTGCATGCTACTGAATATAAGTCAACCATTTGTATGTTAAGCCACTCATTAGTAAAATGGGAAAATTTGTATTTCTTTCCATCAGTATGGCAATGTTGTGATGACACATTTATAAAGATGCAAATCTTTCCAAAATAAAAATGCTACATTCGTTTTTAGTTATCACAGGCAGCATTTGCCTTTGTATATCTCAGCTTTCAAGGTTATTGACAAGAAATTACTGGGTGATTTATTTCATGGGAAAAAAAAAACTTTCTAAAAATGTCTCAGAAAAAAAAGAAGTATCAGTAGTATTCCATGGAGCATGGTTATGAAAATCAAACACTGTTTCGCTGTTTGTTCATGTTCAATGGAAATAAATAAGCCATATACTGAATTTCATTATAAAAAGTAGCATAACACTCTCTTATGCACTAGACTATTGCATAAGACCCGGGGTCTGGTTAGACAATTTCGAACAATGGGACCATCTACAGAGGAGCCTTTGATGACATTTTTGAAGCATCCATGATGAGATAGGTCACTCACCCAGACTTCAACTACTTCACCCTTGCTGGGATTTGGCGGAAAAACTTTGAAGCAAACCAATGAGCAGATGCTATTGACATTCTAAAAATAAGGAAGAAAAAAAGCCAAGTTTCAACAAACTTCTTCAAATCATTTAAAGTCAATAAATATTTGTGAAGCCTCACTATTGTGCAGCCTCTATACTGCTCTTTGTGTCTCTCTCATTTAATAACTGCTCATCCTGCTTCAGATGCCTGTCATACCTATCCTTCATGGTACTGACACAAAATCATCTTCAAAGACACTTCTGATAGGGTCACTTCTTTACCTAAAATCCCCAGGAGAAATCTCAGTAACTTTAGCAAATCGCAAAATTTCATGAAAGATTCATCGGCTCTTATTTATCTAAGCCCTTGAACGCAAAACTATTTATATGTCTTCTGGTGTTATTTTCATCTGTGTCTTTTGAAGGGCTAGTGCTACATGATCCTACTGAAAATGCTATCCTGTCTTGATTTGACCAGGCACTAATTGGGCTTCAAGTACCTTACAGGCTATCCTCTACACACGTCTGTGGTTTCTCAGGCAGATGGAATTATAAGCTTCTTTGTATAATCAATACTTCTTCCTCAAAATCATTTTCACAAAATAGTGATTTGTTACTCATTTAATTACTTACACAATCTTCCTTATAACACACCAGTCAGAGGCCAGTGTGGTGGCTTAACAGATTAATCTACCTACAAGTGCTTGCATTGTATATGGGCACCAATTCATGTTCCAGATGCTCCATTTATGTTCTTGCTCTCTGCTTATGGCCTGGGAAAGCAGTAGAAAATGGCCCAGGTCCTTGGGACCTGCACTCGCACCAGAGACCTAGAAGAGTTCCTGGATTTTGGCTTTGGATCGGCCAAGATGGCCATTTTGGCCTTTTGGGGAGTGAACCAGTGGACCAAAGATCTTTCTCTATCTGTCTCTCCTTCTCTGTAGATCTGCCTTTCTAATAAAATAAAATAAATATAAATCCTTAGAAGATAAAAATTAAGCAGTATACCAGACAGCTGCTATTCTATCAGAGAAACTATTTATATCTTAAAGACATGCATTTCAAAAGAACTTTAAAGAAAAAAATAATTAGTAGAAAATTTCATAATTGTTTGGAAAGCAAGCAATGACTGTAATTTTTTATGCTAGTGCAGAAATGTGTTTAATTAATTTTCTAAATTCTCAGAATTGCACTTATTTTTCTAATTTTAGTTTCTCAAATAAAGAAATTATCTAATTTAATACAAATAACACAGGGTTCCTATGAATAAACGTTAACTACATAATTGCATTGACAGACATCACTACCTCCGAATCATGCCATGATGTCATTGAGTCTCTGAAGGTAATATTTAATATAATTTCATTTATTTTTGTAATGTACCTCTTGAAGAAGGAGAGAGAGAGAAGGAGGTGAGGGGCAGAAATAGAGGAATCCCATTTCCATCCTCTGGTTCATGCAGAGGATGAGGAACTGCTGTATAAGAATCAAGCTAGGAGCCTGCAACACAATCTTCAGGGTGGGTGGAAGGGCTGCACTACTGCCTCCCATGACTGCATTCATTCAAAACTGGAAGTAGGGTATGAACCTGAGCAGAGTGTGGTTCTGATCTGGGGCATCACTGTGTTAGGCTAAATGCTCTTCATTCTCTTTTAACTAGCTATTGGTATCTATTTATTTGGCTGTGTTTTCCTCCAGTTATCGTTATCCTATCCCTACAAAAGCCTACTGCCTTGCTTTAGGATATTGTCCAATGACTCTAAAGTCAATTACCAAATCAGAACATTTATTTTCTATTATAAAATTTTCTCCCATCTTTAAAGCACTAACACAAGTTGTCATTAATACTTTTCTTATTCATTATTTGAAAAGAAGTTTCTTTATTTTTCAATATTCATTTTAATTAAGAATTTCTTCAATAGTACATATTGCAAAATTAATGGAAATTATTTTTTAAATATTAGATTCATTGTATGTGCCCCTAAACAATGATCTAATATTAGTTATGAAATTTTGAGATTCTAATGCATACTTTAATATTATAAATTTCCAATTTAAAGAACTATTTAATTTTAAGACATGTGCTAAGATAAAATTTCAGCAATCATCATGTGTTTAAAATAGAAAGATTCAGTATTAAATACCAAATTTCCTTAGACTTCAGAAGAACATAAAGTACTAAAATATTTACCTTACACAGATATAAAAAGTTGTACTATTTGCAGACAGATTCTCTACTAGCATGCCACTTCAAATTTCTCTCACTTTATGAACCTTATTTTCTTGCATTAAAAGTAACTAAAACTCTAATTATGCACTCATTAAAAGAAACAAAAATTGGTTTTTTTTGAGAGAAGATTGTACCACTTCTAGCATGAGCAGATAAGAAATTGAGTGTGTAAATATATTTTTGCAAACTTTGAGTATGTTAAGTTTCGAATGAGCTATATGATATATTATTTATAAACTAAATACATTTTACAAACTGCTATTTTTAACTGAACTTGAGAAGATATGTTATATAGATGGAATACTACTCAGCAACTAAAAAGAATGTAATTATATGACTTGCAACAAAATAATCCCTACTGGAGGTCATTAAACTCAGTGCAATAAGACAATCCCAACAGAACAAATATTGTATGTCATCTCTGATATGAGTCAACCTTCATGCAAAATACAAAAAAGATATATGACTCAAAGCATGTTATGTAGAATGAACACTTTATAGCTCATAGATAATGATTCTCATAGACTCTAAGTATTATTTTGACAACATTATGTATAACAACATTAATGGTCATATATTTCTAATGTGAATACTAAAGATTATTAACTCCGGAATACTAAAAGTCTAGCATGAAATCTTTTTTTTTTTCTCTTCACATACCAAACATTAATGTGTCAAACTATGAACCTTTGAGTCAGGTAAAGTATTTTGACCCCATGAAAAAGAATACTGAGGTGGGTGCAAATTCTCAAACACATGGTCTCATAAAACCTTTAACAATTAAAAGCTGAGAAAATGACATGACTTTTAGCATGTGTATATCAATATTACATTTAGTGAAGATAAAAGTCTTAAATTTTTTATGAATTTGCTTATACAAAATAGCACCAATTACTCTATTATGTAGTAATTAGGTACTAAGATATGATATTTGTGCAGGACAGTGCAACTTAAGAACTGTAAGAAACAGTGGTTTGCATTTTTATAAAATGTTTAATTTCTCATTATGCAGAAAAAATTACTTCCATAAAGGATCCTTACATACTACTATAGAAAGAAATAAAGCAATTTAAAACTGAGTATGTATCAGAAATTAATTCATACAGGCAATCAATTCAAGAAACTCTGTTTATAGGACAAGATAGCACATATTCATACAGGAAAAGCCAAGGAGAAAACAGAAACTTATGCTTAGGAGAGATAAAAGACTGTACTTCATAGAGGCTCCTTTGATTCCCCCAATTTTTCAGAGACAGAGAGAGATAAAATTTGGCACACTAACTTGAGATACATATATACTAATACATTGTAAAAATTGGAGACTGGGTCTTCTGTATTGAATAGTATTCTCCTACATCCATTTCTATCCAGAATCTTAGAAAATGACTCAACTTAGAGAAGAAATTTGTAAATGCAATTGATTAACTTAGGATGATATTATGTTAGATGAGTTAAGGTCCTAAATCCAGTGGTTTCCTAACAAGAAAGCTATATGCTGATATGTCAAAATAGAGGAAGGAACCCTTGTGATGATAGAATGATACAGATTCAAGCTAAGAAAATCCAAAAACATTGGGTGATATAGCCTAAAACTAGTAAAAGACAAGGAAGGCTAATCTGAGTTTTTACGCTTTTATAGGCAAGTGAGAAATTTTCTACTTAAGGAAACACTGGCCTTGTGAACACCTGAGGTTTGATTTATACCACTGGAATTATGAGTGAATATTTTCTTATTTGTTGCTACCTTGTTTCTGGACTTTGCTTTTGTAGTCTTGAAACATATTTATTTTATTGTTGAAGATTATTGTAAAGATACCTCAAAATGTATGATGATTCAGAACACACAAAAACCAGAAGAATTTTGAATTAGAATGTAGGAAAGTCCAGATTGCCTTGAAGATACTACCCTGAGGATATGGAATCTGAAAATGACTTTTGTGAAGCTTAGAAAAAGGAAGAGCCACAGAGAGTAATGCCATCAACCTAAAGGGTACTTACATCACCATGAAGAGGAATTTTCTAGAAATAGGAACATAAAATGTTTCTAGCAAGATCCCAGATGGAAATGAGGAGTGTGTTATTGTACATAATGGGAATGAAAGTCTTGCAGTAAAGCAAATGAATATCAGACTGAATTCAGTTATTGGCTGGAAAGTAGACATTATGATCACACATGCATTTATTCATTATCTAGGTAAATAGAGGAGAAAGAGAGAGAGAGAGAGAGAGAGAGAGAGAGAGAGAGAGAGAGAGATTCCTCATGCACCGGTTCTCTCACCAAGTACCTGTAATGAGCAGTAGTGACACAGGTCAAGTAATTCAACTGGTGGCAAGAAGCCAACAATTTGGGACATCACCACTCCCTCCCCTCCAAATGGCAGAAGTCAGGAACAACAGAACAGGAAGTGAACTTAGTTACAAAGATTCGGGTTGCTAGTGGTGGCAGTGTTGGTGGCTGCTGCTGCTGCTGCTATCTATCTATCTATGCATGTATCTATGTATCTATCTATTCATTTATTTATTTGAATGACAGAGTTACAGTTAGAAAGGGAAAGGGAGAGACAGAATTTGTCCATTTTCTGGTACTCTCACTAAATAGACACAACTGACATGATCAGCTCAGTCTGAAGCCAGATTTATCAGTCTCTCACTTAGGTGCAGGGACTCAAGTATGAGCTATTTTCTGTTGCCTTCCCAGGGACATTAGGAGGGAACTGCATCAGAAGTCTAGATTGTGGAACAGCCAGGATATGAACTTAGGCCCATATGGAATGTGGTGCTACAGACTATGTTTTGGCTCACAGCG